AGCTTCCCGGGCTAGAGCTGCGGGCTGCCGGCGCCGCGCTCTGAGTCTGCGCGCAGCCGCGGGAGGAGCCGGAGCCCAACTTCGCCGGGGACTCTGCCCTGCCGGGCGCGGGTGAGTGTTTGGAGCGGGAGCCCGAGCCTCCGGCAAACAGGGCTCGCAGGGCACGGCCACCCCTCTGGTGCGCGCTGTCCGCCCGGCCCCGGGCGCTGGGTCGCTCTCTCCCTGCAGCCATTGTGGGGCTACCTGTCCCTTCCCCCCCGCGGGACCGGGACCGGGACCCACCGCTGCGCCCACCTCCCTTCCTCAGCAGTGATCCCCTCTCGGGATGGGGACCCATCGCTTGCGCCCGCCCCTCTTTCCCAGCTGTGCCCTGCTCTCGGGAGCGGGCCCCTACTGCCTGAGCTCGCTGGGTCGCTCTCTCCCTGCAGCCATTGTGGGGCTACCTGTCCCTTCCCCCCCGCGGGACCGGGACCGGGACCCACCGCTGCGCCCACCTCCCTTCCTCAGCAGTGATCCCCTCTCGGGATGGGGACCCATCGCTTGCGCCCGCCCCTCTTTCCCAGCTGTGCCCTGCTCTCGGGAGCGGGCCCCTACTGCCTGAGCTCACCTTCGTGTCTTGCTCTCAGAAGCTGGACCCACCACCTGTCCCCTCCACAGCTGTTTCCCACTCTGAAGCGGGATTCTACTGCCTGCTCCCCACTCTCCTCCCCAGCTGTGCACCTTGCCTCCAGGAGTGGCAGCCAACTGTCTGTTGCAGCCAGCTGTATACCCCTCCAGTCCTCAGCTGGGAACAGCCCCTCTGGGGTTGGATTCCCCCTAATCCTGATTCTCCCTTGGGTGTGGGACCTTCCTTTTGGTTCCCTTTTCTCCCTTACTTTTCTGTGCAATGCCCAGTGGAAGCAAGAACCAGCACAGAGACCCTGGAGCCAACCCTGGGTAGTGCAAGTAAATTGCATTGTCATGTCCAGCTTCTTTTCAAAGAGCAGAGAGATGCACGATCTCCCCAGTTTCATCCATTCCCGGGACTGGTGCCCACTACAGAGACCTGCCTCTTAACTCTGCATCGCAACCCCTCCCCCGCAGCACTACTACCAGGAGAAGGCTGTGGGGACCCAGATGGGCAGTCCCAATATGCTCTCAGTTCAGTCCCTAGTGTTCCTTGCTCCCTGACCTGCTAATCCCCATCAGTATCTGTTGTTCCAGAAGAATACTGCTTTCTTCTCAGTGCTTCCAGGTTGTGAGTGATTGGCTGCATCAGGAAGCACTGAAACTTTGGGTCCCGTACTACTGATTTTCAGTGGGATGCCCCCAAGAAAGTATTCTGGCTAGGGCAAACAAAGCATCTGCTCTTCCTCACCCTTTTGAAATATATGTGCTGGCTCATCAGAGTGTATGCCAAACACCTTTTTGGTATCTTTTGTTAGTCTCTAAGGTGCCTCAGGACTACTCATTGTTTTTAAAGTTACAGACTTTTTAAAAAACAGCTAATAATTCTGCAGAGAATAACAAAAATGTAGATTGTATCACGTGTTTTCGTTCGCACAACCCACTTCTTCAGCTGAATGGAGTTAAGGGGTCCCAGGTCCAAATTAATAGCAGAGTAAGAGGGGGGATGGGGAGGGTAAGAGAGGGGGAAAAATAGAGAAAAAATATTGTGTCTATGCTAAATGAGGCTAATAGAGTGGGCTCTAAGTATTCTAAGTACCCGGAGCACGGCTTATGTCATTAGGATGTGGAATGTAGCCACTCATCCAGGTCAGGTCTTTGTTTAAACTGCTATTTAAAATGTCAGATTTGTAAACGAAACAAAGTTCTGCAGCTTCCCCTTCAAGCTGGCTTTTGAAATGGCTTTGAAATAATATAAACACTTTTAGATCCATTAGTGAGTATCTGGGCAAGTTGAAATGTTCCCCAACAGGTTTCTGTGTGTTACCATTTCGAACATCTGATTTGTATCCATTAATCCTTTGTCATAGAGACTGTCCAGTTTGGCCAATATACATGGCAGAGGGGCATTACTGCACTTCTCACTAATGGATCTAAAAGTGTCTATATTATTTCAAAGCAATTTCAAAAGCTAGCTTGAAGGGGAAGCTGCAGAACTTTGTTATCTCTCTGAATCTTTCAGACTGACAAACTGAGACTTTTTTGGTATGGAGTCCTGAGCAATCCTGCCTCAAACTCTGTTCCTTGCATTTTTGTTCAGATTCTTAACACTCCTTCCTGTCCTTTGCAGGGTCACTGACTTATGTGTGTTCAGAAAGTGTTCTGAGCGTACAAAAGGCTTTATACCTGCTGGATTTTTACTTGCCTTAGAAACTCTGTCCTCACTGCCTATCCCTTTTTCCAGGATTTCACAAGCAAATCACTGCATGGGAACTGTCTCTGGTGTTGTCTGTTGCTGAGGACTTTTAACATGAAAAGACAGTGAGAACTCATGGGAGACTGGGTCACTGAATAACTACGAGAAATGTTTTGCTTTTTAAAAGGGCTGTTCATGTTGTAAATCACATGTTATAAACAAATTTGCCTTTGTTATTAGTAACCTTTTGAGTCACGAAAGAGATTTGTTTTTAAAATCCAGTTCATTTTTGTCTAAGCTCTTCATTTACTTTATCTATTTCTTTCAGCTTGGAAAATAAGTCAGTTTCAGTTGTGTTTATGCAGTTTCACATTATTGGTGCTACAATGGCTAGATTTTAAACACTTCACATGAATGTTTACTTGTTTTAAAAAGTTTTCTTTAGTACTTTTTAATTTAAAAACACTTCTAAGGGTCTTGTATTTTATTTAAAGAATCTTACAAAGTTTTAATTTTTGGTCTAATTAAAGGTGACAATATCTCAATATCTCTTACTTTTTATAGCAAGTTACATTTCATCCTCCTTTTGAAAATGTTGGCAAGATGTTTTCCTCGCCCAAGGAAGTACTGAATTGTGAGGAAGCCCCCATATCTGTTAAGGCAGTGGTTCCCAACTGCCGGTCTGTGGCCTGCTGCTGGGCCACCAACTGCTGGCTACCGGGCCGCGGCAGCTGTCGGGGCTTAAGCTGGCTGTTCCCAGTGTCTCGGCTCAGGCCGCGACAGGAGGAGGCAGAGTAGGCGGTGCCTTCCTCCTTCCGCATTTGGGGAGATGCACTTAGAGAGGGAGGGGGTATGAAGAAGGAAGGAGGCGCACACACACCACCAGCAGCTGCTCCCTCTGGCCACATGGCCACTTTTGCCAGCGGTGACAGGAGGAGGTGGAACAGAAGGTGCCTCCTCAGGGCTCCGTGCACCCTCTGCGCCCATTTCCCTCCCTCCCCCCGCACACTTCTGCTTTTGCTGGTGGCAGCAGTGAGGTGGTAGCAGAAGGAGACAGAATGGGGTTCTGCCCTCTCTCTTACCCATGGGGGCACAAGATGTGCTTGGGGCGGAAGGAGGTGTGAAGGAGGAAGGCTAGTCTGCTTGCCCGCATGGTAGTAACAGCCATGGTCCCTAGCGGGGGTGTGGTGGGGTCATAGGGCAAGAGGATGTTGGCATGGGCTGTAGGGGTTAGAGGTTAAAGGGTCAAAGGGCATGTGGTGTAGGAGTGGAGGGTCAAAGGATGTTCGGTACTGCAGAGCAAGGGGCTGAGTTGGGGCTAGGTAGTCTAGTATCATTTTATTTGCATATTTACATTATAAATATGTCCGCGAAGCATTTGAGAATGGGTTTGTCGGTCTCCAGCATAAAAAAGTTTGGGATCCACTGAATTAAGGAGTAAGAAATTAACTAAATGCACCATATTGTCAGGGATCTTATCTTCTGCCTTGTTTTCTCCACCTTTGTTCCCTATTTGAAGTAGCAGGACCAAGTATTACTCCCAGTTGAGAGAGAACTTTTATATCATAATGATTAACAATAATTCTGCTGCTTTATTGTGAAAAGACATTTTAATTGCTGTGTTTTCTTGCATCTGGGAAGGCAAAAACAAGGACTCTGGTGGCACTTAAAAGACTAACAAATTTGTTAGGGCATGCACTTTTGTGAGATACAAGAACTGCTTTAAAAAATCTCAGCGGGGTAGCCATGTGAGTCTGTAACTTCAAAAACAACGAGTGGTCCTTAGGGTGTGTTTACACAGCACTCTAAACTTGAAATAAGATATTCAATTTGCATAGCGCAAATTGTGTATCTTATTTTGACTCTATTTCAAAATAGCTTATTTTGAAATTTGGCACGTCTACATAGTGCCAAATTTTGAAATAACACGCTGTTTCGAGCCATCCCTTATTCCTCATACAATGAGGTTTACCGGGATGGCGAAATAAGACGCCTGTTATTTCAAAAAATATTTGTACGTTTCTGAGGCTGAAGCGGACTCAGTAAGAACCCGTGTGAGCAGGGGACTGCTTGAGTCCCTGATGGCCCTGTCCTCCCTGCAGCATTACCCTGCCGCAGCAAGGTAGAGGGGAAGGAACAGGAGCCAGTGCTGCAGGGAGCTGGCTTAAAAGCCGGTTCCCCCCCAGCACTGTCTCCAGGGTGCTGCCTGCTTGACCCATTCTGCCTCTATCAGAGGCAGCAGGGGGAGGATAGGGGAGGCTGCTGTGAAGCAGCCCCTGTCCGCAGGAGTCCCAGCAGAGAGCTGGGCCCAACCACTGACGGGATGCTGCCGCCAAGCAGCCCCTGTTAACGGCAGCCAGGGCTGGCTGTGGACAGGGGTTGCTCCGGCAGCAGCCTCTGTTCGCGGCAACCAGCCTTGTCCACAGCGAACAGAGGCTGTTCTGGCACCAGCTGCTATTTGTGATGTATGTGGTTTGTCGCGGGCAGGTGCTGATGGACTTGGCACAAGCTGGAACCATAGTTCCCTCTAAGCTGTGTGGCAGCACAGCTTCGCAGGTGATTAATCAGCCCTGCCAAGTCAGAAGATCCAGACACGGTGACTCCTACTACATTTAAAATGCAGACACACAACGCAGATGGCTACCAGAGCCGGCATGAGCCAGGATTGCTCCTGAAACTACCCCCCACTGTGGCTCTGCAGCGCAGTCCTATCGACTTATCATATAGTCGATACAAATTGTATCGACTATACAATTAGCCTGATAACCACATTTTAATATCCTTAATTTATTATTAATATGATGGTTTATTTACCATTCATGATGGGAAATTAATTGATCTTTCTGACTATAATTAGTTACTACTTTTGGTTTATGGGTTCATAACTTATTTTTATTACACATTGACATGCCTGGCTTAGGAAAATCCAGAGTTAGAAGGGAGTTTAGTAGTCTGATATGTTCAAGTAGCTTCTATGAAGTTTGTTGTGCTCAGGCTGCAAATTCAGATAAGTGAGTTTGAGATATACAGGCTAAGTCTACACTTAAAATATTAAAGTGCTGTGCTTTAAAATGAAAGTATGGCCACAGCACCTGCACTGGAAGAAAGCTCTTCTAGCGCTTTATGTAAACCACCCAAATAAGGAGCATAACTACCCAGGTGCTTTACAGCACTGTAGTTTGCTGTGCTTGTGAGAGGAGAGGAGGGGAGGGGAGGGGAGGGGAGGGGGCAGGTTTCACAACCTTGAGCCAGAAAGTGGAAGTGCAGTAAAGCGGCAATGTAGACATGGCCCTAGATTTACTACACCTCATGCTATGGTGGTACATTATTCTGCTTCCAGTCCTATAAAAGCTAAAGTTCAGCTTTTTTTTTTTTTTTCTGTAAAGGTTATAAATTTAAGAAGTCTTTTACAAAATAAGTGACTTTTTGATCTTTTGGGGGAGATTTTCAATGAGAGTTTTGTTCCTAACTGCCCTTTATGCCTTTCAAAATTCACCCCTTTAAGATTTTGACAAATGTTTCTTTCTGTGAAATAGTGTTTGCTTTGGAGTGGGCAGATAGGCAAAAGGAGTTCTCTCATTTTGAATGAAATTCACCCTTCTGTACATAAATCCAAGTTCTTTGGCTAACAGATTAGGCTGGTGGAGTTGGACTTTTTCTTTCCACCCATCTCATAGCATGCCTAAGGGTCTGCAGCACATCCCTTTCATGATTTGAATACGAGGGAGCAGATGGGCAGCCACTGTTTTTGTGTAAGTCTTTATACACTGATACAAATAAAAAAGTGGATCTGGTCCTGTCCTCTGAGCTTCATTTCAACCAACTGTGCTATCTGCATTAAACTATTCAGGGGCAGCATAAAAGCACTAGCTATTCCTAAATAATTTCATATGCACAAGATGCCTTAGCAAATTAGCCAGTGCTTTTGTGTTGATTCTGACTTTTTGTATGTATTGTCAGAACAAAAATGATAAAATGTATTTGAGCTTTAAAGAAGTCTTCACTTTAGTTTTGCATAAGATCGTGCCACCTAATTATTAATGTGTTCTCTTTCTCAATTATAAATATAGCTCTTTTCTTGTAGCTGAAATGGATTCAGAACCTGATCCTTCAAGTCCTTCTCAGCCACAGCCACAGCAAGGAAGATCTCAGCTAAATGCAGCTGCTACTGCAGGCCATAGTGAGAGTAATCAGAAACCTGGTTCACCTTCAGGAGATCCATTGTCCTCTACAACTTTTTCCCCTTCAGCTACCAGCCATTCAAGCAGCAGGGAGAGAGCTGAAAGAAGTGGTGAGTCTGGAGAGATAATTATGCAAGACTTACATATTCTAAAATCAGTATATTAAAGGCACTGTCAAGATACATTCCTATATTGAAATGACTATTATCAATTTGAAAAATATATTTCTATTTGGATTTTTTTACATACTATATACATATTATATAAGATGGAAGATTAGAGAAATGTGTTCCTGTTTGTTTTGTGTATAATTGTGTCTGTCTCCCCTTTTTGTAGTTTAGCCATCTGTTTCTCTGTTTGTGTGCACATAGCAACAGAAAATGGTGATTATTTTTTAACCAAAAAAGCTAATAAAAGGATTTGAGAACAAAGGCATTACAAATCCAGAAACTACTTTTAACTACTTAAAATTAACTAGATCACATGTTAGAGAGACAGTGAGTGTGAGGCAACATTTGTATTGGATCAACGTGTGTTTATGGAAGAGAGAAGCTATCACTCTTATTCAGCTTTTTTTTTTAGGTTTGGGAAGGGTATTCTATTGTCACAGCTATATACAAGATCCATAAGCATAAGGGGTAACACACATTGCCAGACACCATTCAAGGGTGAGATAGGCAGTTAAAAAACAAACTAGATTGATTTATGGCTTATCAATATCTTTCAGTCCACAATTTTCAGTGTCTAGTAAAATTATGAAAGTAAGATCTCAGGCTCATCTTTTAAAGGTGTTGTGCAGCTTTCAATTGAGGATGAGGTCTGAGATGTCTCATTTGCAGTGACTATGTGAAAAGTGTTAGTCCGTGGGTGGTACGGAGTTTTAGTTTTTTATTATTTTTTTCTGCATGAGTTCTTCTGAGACCTTAGTGATTGTCTTGCTTCACCCCTTTAGTAGTTGTTGAGTAATTAAGTGCACTAGATGAGGTTTACCACATTGTGTGATAGGCATCTGTAAGTGCACCGATGCTCTTGAATGAATTCACATGGAGAAATGGAAGTAGATTAGTAGGTATGTAGGAGTTCTGATCAGGAATCATGCAAAAGTTTGAAAATCAAAGTGGTGCTTTCAAGTTGTATGGTGAGAGACTTAAAAATTATTAAAAATGATGGCGAGGAAAGGTGGTCTCTTCATAGTTCCTGAAATGAAACAAGTGTTCATCTGCAGTTTTCTAGACTCTTGAAACCAGGTTTTAAACTTAGTCTTGGATCTCACACTTACATACTGCACATTCCAGACTTTACCAGTCCACTTCTTTGTTTATTTGTTAATTTTAGAGCGGGAGGGTAGGTTTAGCTCTTGCTATAAATCTGGGCTCCAGATCTGAAAATACTTACATGTTTGCTCAACTTTACAAACATTAATAGTCCTAGAGGCCTTAGTCAGAAAATGGGGATCCATTGTGCTGTGTACTAGACATGCACTAACAAAAATGTCAGTCTCTAACCAAAGAACCTCTGATCCAAGTTAGGGATGTAACAATGTAACTGTTTAAAGAGTTAACCGATAAGCATGAGCTTAAGTTACATGCCTCCAAGCCCCATTCCAGGAGAGCTGGCTGCCACCCTCTGCTGCAGACTCTATATCAGAGTCCGCAGCACACGGTGGCATCTCGCGCTCTCGGAGAGGGGCCAGGAGGGATCCAGCCAGCCTTACTTCAGAGGAACTGGTGGCACAGGGCTCTACGGTGTAAAGCTTATATTGAAGAGCCTGCAGTGTGTAACCGCTAAGATTTTCAGTACTTACAGTTACGTAATTAACTGCTTTTTAACATCCCTAATCCAAGTAAGAATTTACAATATGGATGTGAACAGGTCACCAGTTAACTGATTTCCCTGGGAGCAGCTTGTGCCTGCTGCGGGTGGAGGTCTATTCCAGCCTCTGTGAGGCACCAGCAGCCAGCCCCATGCAGCTGGGAGTGGGAGCCAGCACCAGCCACCAACCCCATACAGCTGGGGCCAGGAGCCCTGGGGGACTCAAGCATGACTGGAGTGGTTCCCCACCCAGGATCACGCTTAGTTAGTTAATTGGTTACAGTTGGGTTAATTAACATTTAACTAGCTAACTAGGGATGTAAAGTCACAATCAAGCTAAATAATTAAACTTTTGCTTCTCTGACTTCTAATAGTTTAAATGATTGAATCCCCAGACAACCACAAAACATAATTTTAAGCAAATATATCTTTGGTTAATCCCATAGTTTTCAGATTTACAGTTTTCACCTAATTACAGAGCGAAAACTGGAATGAAAGAAGTTCCCTTGGGCCAGTGAGTGAATTTTGGGGGAAAAATGATTTGTTGAATTCCTGACTTTCTAATTTGCAGTCTTAATATATCATAAGCTTTCAATCTCGCCCACTGATGAAGTACTACAGAACTGTTGAAGAATTGACACTTTTGACATTAATTACATGATTATTAAGTTAAGATTAGAGATACTTGTTTCCCCTCTCCCTCATCTCCCAGTTTCTCAGTACTTTTCAACATAAAGAAGAGAATAGCAACAATAAGAGAAATGTGGCATTGAAATGTATCCAGCTTTGTTATAGTATCATTTTAAAATGAAGGCATGGCTTCTATTAATAAACTATGCAAAATTATGAAAATATATGCCAACTATCAGTCTACTGGTATTTCATATAGAGGATGCTGGTAGGTATGATATTCCCCCTTTCCAGTCAATCTAGATAATTGCTGATTCTGTATAAATGTCTAACTTCTTAAAATGCTGCTTAACTTTTTGTTTCAATTACGTCTCTTTGCACTGGTTCTTTGGATTTGGGGGAAGTAATGTCCCACAGTAGCCCCCACAAAAAAACACCCAAAAACAACAAACCCCAAAATAAAGCCTTTTTTTGAAGTAGGGGAATGGAGTAGTTCTTTTGCTTCAATCCTGGCAAATTGAAGTTTAAGCATAAAATAGGGATATGCATAGAGTTTTAAACAGATTCTGGTTACAAAAACGAATAGGTTACTCAAAATTCATTAATGTTTTTTGCAAAATAGTAGCACTAAAAGAGAAGGTATTCTGAGAGGTAATGATGGAAATCAGATTATCTTAAAGTTGCTTGCAGGTGGAGAGATACTTGTTGCTGATGGGCCAAGGAAGAATGAGGAATTCAGACTGTAAGTAGCAATGTTGATTGATATAGTCTTTCCTTTTTTTTCCCTTTTGTTTTAAGAAAAATATAGAATAGCAGGCGCCTCACAAGGGAGCAAAGGTTGGCTGTTTGCTTGGATAGATTAAGAAGCGAACTTGGAATACATATTGTGTCATTATCTTTTTTATGGTGATTGAAACTGTGAACAGGTAGAGGTTAAAGGAAGAGTCCATCAAAGTGACAGTCATAAATAGATGGAAAGCTGTTTATTATAGATAACTTTTAACAATTTCAGATGAAATAGATCTAGAATTTGCAAAATACTAAAGGTACTGACCACTTTCAGCTGACTCATGCCATACAGTTCAATATATTACTGTCAACTCTACAGACATAAATTTGTAGCTAAAATTATTTAGAAGCAGTAATTACTTTCTAGGAGTAGTAGTGGCTTTTAAAGACTTATTGTGAGGAGGAAGAATTTATATACTGTCATTATTTTAAGAATGTTATAACATGTTTACAGTGTTTCAAGGTCTGTGCACCTTGATAGCACGGTATAAGCATATTGACACTTATCTGGGATGCTCTACGTAACTCCCTTGGGACTCTGGCACTTCTGTACCCTTACCAATAAAATCTTTGAGCACATGTCCTTTTAGTTTAACGAAGAGAAGATTAAGAGATGATTTGATTATAGTCTGTGAGTATCTGCATGGGGAACAAGTAATTGATAATAAGATGTTCAGTGTAGGAAAGAGAGCTATAACATGATCTGTTGAAGCTAGACAGGTTGAAACTGGAAATAAGGCATACATTTTTAACAGTAAGAATAATTAACCTTGGAGCAATTTACTAAGGGTCCTGGTAGAATTGCCATCACTGCCGATTTTTAAATCATGTTTAGATTTTTTTTTCCAAAAAAGATTAGCTCTAAAATAGGGATTATTTTGGATTCTATAGTCTTTATTATGCAGGTAGTCAGATTAGATGATCACAATGGCCTTGGAATCTATGTATCTGTGTAGTGTATCTTCCGTAACTTAGAATCTTAGCACTCTTTTAAATACTTGAAAACCGCTATCATGTCCCCCTTCCTGTCTTTTTTCTAAACGAGGGGTGGCCAACCAATTCTGGGCAAAGAGCCAAGATAGCAGTGGATCCAGCACAAAGAGCCGGGGCAAAGTCATTGACCAGAGAAAAAAGGGGGAAGACAGCCCTTTTTGCCCCTTTAAAAGGAGCCCCTGGTTGCATTTGGTCAAGCAAAAAAAAAAAAAAAAAAAAGCTCTATCCCTTTAAAAAAAACCGCATTTAAACGTGTTTTCAGGCTTTTTGGACACAGCAGGTTCCTGCCGCCATCTTTATTTCTTCAGCTTTCATGTCCATTCTGGACTGCTTTCCTGCCCAAGTCAGCACAGGCAGCTGGGAGGAGAGGGCTGTTTTTGAGGGCGTGGGGGCAGCTTTCAAGCCACGGGGGGCACTTCACGAGCTGCACCCGGGGGAAGGGAAGAGCTGCATGTGGCTCGCAAGCCTCGGGTTGGCCACCCCTTCAATAGAGAGAAGAATGACCTTCCCTTATGACCTTTAGCTTGGTGGTTACTGGATTTCCTCAAGATATAGTTCTCCAGTTCAGTTCACTCCACAGAGGAGAAGAGATTTGAACAAAGATCTCCCAACCCTCAGATGAATGCCTTATGCACTGAAGAATAGTGATAGAAATGTAGCCGTGTTAGTCTGGGGTAGCTGAAGCAAAATGCAGGACAATGTATCACTGTAAAGACTAACAAGATGGTTTATTAGATGATGAGCTTTCGTGGGCCAGACCCACTTCCTCAGATCAAATAGTGGAAGAAAATAGTCACAGCCATATATACCAAAGGATACAATTTAAAAAAATGAACACATATGAAAAGGACAAATCACATTTCAGAACAGAAGGGGGATGCAGGGT